TGCTCCTGCTCCTCCTCCTCCTCCTCCTCCTTCTCCTCCTCCTCATCCTCCTCCTCCTCCTGGAGCCGAAAGCGGCCAAACGTCCTCCGCCGTGGGCAATCCACGACGCGATCATGTCTGAGGACCCCCTCACGCTCCGCCGATCCCGGCGGGGGGCCTCCTGCCCGCGGCCGCTCCCCCGACACCCCCTCCCCACCCACTAGCCCTCGGGGGCGCGGCCACCTGAGACCTGGCGTTGCCACACTAGCTGCAGCATCGCCACACGCAAGACGAAGCCAGGACGAGGACAAATTCGGATCTCCTCCTCCTCCTCCGAGGACAAATCGAGAGTCTCTGGGATCCGGCGACCCTGCAGGACCGGGCGCGCCGGGAACGCTCTGGAACGCATGTATCCTTAGGTCGAGCCTGTCCCACCACAGGCAGATTTTGGGCGGAAAATTAGAAATACTAACAACAAATCCGAATTTGCAAAACAAATCCGCAAAACATCGTCCCCATATTATATTTTGACTATTTTGGAATACCCCTCCTGTAGAGGGACAAGCCCGACTTACCACTTGCTGCAGCATTGCCACACGCAAGACCCAGAGATCCGACGTCGTGATTTTTCCAATGCGGGGCCCCCAGAAACCTGGACCCCTTCCCCAGGCCCAGGCTTTTCATCCTGTATTGTTTTTTGCCAGTCCTGTGGCCCGGCGAGGGCCCCTAGAGGCCAAACACTGCGAAAAAGCCTCCGCCCTGATTTTTGTCAATACGTTGGATCTCTGGGGCCCAAGCCAGGACTTGACAAGTTCGGACGGGGACAGATCGAGAGCCTCTGGGAGCCGGCGACCCTGCAGGACCACTCGGGCGCCGGAGCGCTCCGAGGGCGTGCCGGGAAGGCTCGGGAACGCATGTATCCTTGCCCCGCCAGACAAAGTCATGACCCGAGCCCCGGACCCCATCTGCCTTCGGGCCGGGCGAGAGGGGGGGATAAAAAAGGGGGGGTTTGAAAAACCGCTCACGTAACTGATTTCCCCGGCGCCTCCCGGCGCCGGGAGGCGGCCGTGTATCGAGCAGTGGGCCCGGCGGCGGGGCCGAAACCAGCTGCATGATTTCGTACCCCCCCCCTTTCCCAATCCCCCCCTTTCGTCCGGCCCGATTTCTGCGTCAGTCTTCGCGCCAGCCCGGGGCCTGGCCGGGCGGAAGCGCCATGCTGTGCGAAGACTGCAACGCGACCCCCGACGCCATGATTTGTTCATGCCGTCGACCCCCAGAGGTCTCGACCCCTGCCCCAGGACCCGTTTCTCGTCCAGAGCCGGCGTTGGACGGTCCCGCGGCCCGTCGAAGGGCCCCGGACGCCGAAAACAGTCGAAAACCGCCCGCGCCGACTTTATCGGAGCGTAGGATCTCTGGGCGTGGTGATATCGCTGGGCTGGGCCTAATCGTTGTATTTCGTTTTGTTGCTCGTTCTGCTCTGCCTGTTTTCCTGCACCTCCCTGCCCAAACGAAAAACAGAACACAGCCCGAGTACAGCAAAGCAGCGTTCCCAGAGGTCCGATGTCGTGATTTGTTCAATAATTACGGGGTCCCCAGAAGTCTCGACCCCTTCCCCAGGACCGGTTTTTCACCCTGAGTCATTTTTTGACGGTCCTGCAGGGCCCGGCGAGGGCTCTAGAGGCCGCAAATAGCGACAAACCTCCGTCGTGATTCTTTCCATGCGTTCGATCTCTGGGTTCAGGTCCATCCCTGCGACCTCGCTCACGACGCGGGGGGGTCTGGGTCTGCTTTGGACGCCCGAAATGGGTACCGAAAAATGGGTACTATGCCCAACAGCAAATGTTGTCCCAAACCAACAGCGGCCGCTGTTGGGCGGGCGACCTCCTGTCTCGAATGGTCACAGGCCGCGGCGGCGTGGACAGCGAGTCCTGTTCAGAATGAACAGGAACTGCTGTTGGGCATCGTACCCATTCTTTCCGTGCCCATCTCGGGCGTCCAGAGGGTTTGCCACGGGAGGTCCTGCGCTCTCCGCGCCGGGGACGCCTCCGCGGCGGGCTGCGCGCGCGGCGCCCTCGGCGGCCTCGTCCCGGCCCCGGGGATGCCCCCGGCGGGGGCGGCGTGGGCCACACGGCACCTCGGGGTGTCCCGCCGCGGCGAGGCGGGAGCGGCGGGTGGTGTCAATATATATATATATATATATATATATATATGTACACATCTATAATTCATGAAGATGTGCGCCACATCCGCCGACCTCTTGGATCAGGGGGAGCGATCCTGGGCCCTCCGCTTGTGGCGAGAACGCCGGGAACAAACCGAGCGCCGACAACCAAAGAGCCACCGAAAACGGAAAAGGGGTGAAGAGCAGAAGGCGCCGAAAGCCAGATAGGATCGGAGGACCCCACCCCAGACACGCTCGCGTCGCAGAGAAAATCACCACGGAACGTGTCTCGAGTAGGGGATCGACTACAGAATTCATCTACCCCAAAACTGATTTGTAGTCGACGGATGGACTACAAATGCGTATATACTACCAGTAGATCTGACGTACGAGCATTACACGCACTATTCGTGGATTCGACGAAAAAAAAATCAACTTTGGGGTGAATCAATTCTGTAGACGATCCCCTGCTCGAGTGCTTCGCCCTGGCCGGCCTCGCTGGACTCCGGGGGCCGTCAGAGAGGAGCGGCTCGGGGCGGAGGCCTCCCGGAGGGGCGGAGGGGGCCTCCCGGAGGGGCGGAGGGCCAGGCCGCAGTCGCCGCTGCGCGGGCCAGGCATCGGTGATGCGGCGCGCTCGGGAGCTCGAGTCACAAGGGCGCCCAGCTTCGCGCTCTCGCGCCTGGCGCACCAGTTACGATGATTCGCGGTAGTCCCTGGCACGGTGTTCTCACACGATTCTGGATCGGGGTTGACTCGTGGCGTCGAAGTCCTTAGAATGGTGCTCTGTCTGGCACGGCTCATGATGTTCACACGGTTGTCTTCCCACAGGACACTTCCCTTAGTGGAAATCCGCCCTTCTAGTGGCCTATGAAGAGGGAGCCTGGAGGGAGGGCTTATTGCGACATCGTTGATGAGTCTTGGGTTTACACTGGTCCTCCTTCTCCGCCTCCTTGCTCTCCTCCTCCTCCTCCTCCTCCTCCTCTTCCTCCTCCTCCTCCTCCTCCTCCTCCTCCTCCTCCTCTTCGTTTTCTTCTTCTTCTTCTTGTTCGTCTTCTGTTTCTTCTTCTTCTGCTTCCCCCTCCTCCTCTTCCTCCTCCCCCTCCTCCTCCTCCTCCTCCTCTTCCTCCTCCTGCTCCTGCCCCTCCTAGCCGCTGCGGGGCCCAAGGGGCCCGTGGCGGGGGGCACTTCGCAGCGGCGCAGCCCCGCAGAGCCGCGCGGCCGATGGCGCTCTGATGCCGACGCTCCAGCCCTACGGCTCGGGCCAGCGCGCCGAGGGCCCTGCGGCTCGGCGCTCGGGCAGCTCGCGTCAGACTACTGCAACGCCAGAGGGAGGCCACACCAGACCCGGGTGATCCTGATGGGCGGCAGTGTCGCGGCGCGAGGCTGCATCCAGCCTGCACCCAGGCAGGCCCCTCGGCCTTCAACACATTGGCCTGGGCTGTGGGCCGATGCCGATCCAGGGCAAGCGCAAGAACGAAGTTCAAGTCAACGGAGAGGACCTGCCAGGGGGAAGAGACGGAGGAGCCTCGTCGCCAGGCTGGCACGCCGCCCAGGCGACATCGTGTCAGGGAGGGATTATGGCTGGAGGTGCCGCCTGCGCCAAAGGCGCGACCCACCCCACCAGTGGGAATCGAGACGGCGGCGATGAAGAGGCAGCTGGCCAGGCGGCTTTTGGAGTCGCGTAAGGTGGCCCGCATGAACCAGATCGGCACGGACCCCAGCACCAACGTGACGGAGGTCCAGAGTTCGGCCACAGACAAGGAGGTGCAGTCCAACAAGGAGGCCAAGGAGGACAGGGACCAGATGAAGCACGTGCTGAAGTGGAAATGCACCCGATGCCGCTACACCAACTTCAGCTTCGGGGAGCATTGCAGGGAGTGCCTCATGGTCGCACCTCTCGCGACGCGGGAAGCGCAGACCAACAAGCACAAGCAGGCGCTGCAGTCGGACTCGCACTGGGGGCCCGATCGTGACGCTGGGCGTGAAGGTGGAAATGCTCAAGGAGTCGGTGAAGGAGGATCCGGATGCGCAGATCGAGCTGCGGGGCGCCGGAAGCGTCTCGATAGGAACTGGCTTGACCACCGCGAAGAACCATGTCGTGGAGGCCGAGGTGAGCTCACACAAGCAGGCGCTGCAGTCGGACTCGCTCGAGAGCCCGGTCGCGACGCTGGACGTGAAGGAGGAGCTGCCCAAGGAGACGCGGAAGGAGGATTCGGATGCGCAGAGCGTGAAGAACCCCTTCGTGGGGCCGAGGAGAGCTTGCTCGAGCAGATGCGGTCCCAGGAGCAGGTACGCGCGGCAGCGCTGATGGTGGAGCAAAAGCGCCGCAGTCCCAGCAGCAGCTCAACCAGCTGGGATCTCCTTCGCAGAGCAAGGGCACGAAAGATGCAGAAGAAGAATCGATGGACCAACAAGTTGAGCTAGATGAGACGCTACGGTTCTTCATCGGCGGCGATGGCGGCTCCGTCGACGTCGGCAGCGAGCAGCCCTCACAGGGCACATACCAATTCAGCCAGGATCAGGTGAACCTGAGCATTGGCTTAGATACCGACGATGACGAGCAGACTGGTAAGAACAACGAGATGGACAAGGCCGACAAAATGGTGAGCTTCAACCGCCAGGAGATCGCGGACGATGGCTTCACCCGGAAGGAGTTTGACGGGATGGCGGCTGGCATCCTGGAGCAGGTCGGCCGCGACCCCAAGGAGGCCATGAAGCGCCGGGAGGCCCTGCGCAGCCGTATGCACGTGGGCGACGTGGACGTCCTCGCGGCGGCGCGCGGGGGGCAGCAGCGGCGCTCCTGGTGAAAGGGGGTGCTGCTCGGACGCTGCTGGCGACTTCGTCGGCATCTTGTTCGAGCTGGTGCTACTACTACTACTACTACTACTACTACTACTACTACTACTACTACGACGACGACGACGACGACGACGACGACGACGACGACGACGACGACGACGACGACGACGACGACGACGACGACGACGACGACGACGACGGGACGACGACGACGACGACGACGACGACGACGACGACGACGACGACGACGACGACGACGACGACGACGACGACGACGACGACGACGACGACGACGACGACGACGACTACTACTACTACTACTACTACTACTACTACTACTTGCACCTCTTAAAGTGTCTGAAAAGGCGGGCAGGCGGGCTTAGAGGGGGAACCGCTTCCGACCCCTTCCCCGGCGCGTTTCGGGCTGTCCTGAGTCCGTGGCCCTTGTGGGCCCCCCCTCTGCCCGTTGGGGCTGGCCTTTTGTGGGCCTCTGCTGGGCCGCCTTGGTGGCTTGGCGTCGCCGCTTCGGGCAAAAGGGTCGGGAGTGTTTCATCCCCCTGACCGCGGCCCGAGTGGCGGGTGCGGGGAGAACCCGTCCGCCTCATCAGCACCCTCTGCACCTTCTTCCTCCTCCCCCTCCTCCTCCTCCTCCTCCTCCTCCTCCAACTCCTCCTCCTCCTGATCATCATCATCAGCAGCAGCACCACCATCATCATCATCATCATCATCATCATCATCATCATCATCATCATCATCGTCATCATCATCATCATCAGCATCATCATCATCAGCAGCAGCATCATAAGCATCAGCATTATCAGCATCATCATTATCATCATCATCAGCAACGGCAGCATCATCATCATCATCATCATCAGCATCGTCATCATCATCAGCATCATCATCATCATCATCATCATCTTCATCTTCCTCATCATCATCATCATCATCAGCATTATCATCATGATCATCATCATCATCATCATCATCAGCATCAGCATCATCATCATCATCATCATCATCATCATCATCATCATCATCATCATCATCATCATCATCATCATCATCATCATCATCATCATCATCATCTGTATCACCATCACCCTCCCCCATCGTCCTCCTCCTCCTCCTTCTCCTCCTCCTAATCCTCTTTTCCCTCCTCCTCCTCCTCCTCCTGCTCTTCCGCCTCCTCCTCTTCCTCTTCCCCCTCCTCCTCCATGTTTTTCTCATACAGACTTTCTCCCTGTCGCACCCCGAGGCCAGTTTTTTGGGGGCGGGCCGGGCGTTTCGCCTGAGACTTCCTGGCCCATTATGACTCTGAAGCGAAAAATGGCAACAGTTCCATAGGTGGAGGGCGGGTGGTTTTCAACATGTTGCTCTCGCCTTAGCGCCGCGCACATTCTTTCTGAAACATTGTAAGATGTTCACGGATTGAGGTCGACTGGATTTCAAAATGTGATTCTCACATATTCGCTTTAAACATGTGCAAGAGCTTCACAGATTGAGGGCGGCTCCTTTTCAAAATGTAGCTCTCGCCTGAGCGCCGTACACACTCGCTTACAACAACATGCAAGAGTTTCACGGATTTCCACGACAACGTAGTTAGCAGAAATTGCAATTTGGAAGGATTCAGGATGTTGCGGGTGCAACAGTCAGGTTGATTCGCGGTGTGATGTCCCAGGAAAGGCGTTCTGGCACGATTCAGGAATGCCAAGACGCAACAGTCAGGTTGATCCGTGGCGTTGCAATCCCGATAACAAAGTTTTGTCATGCTTCAGGGTCTTCAAACGGTTGTCTTCCAACGAGGCAGTTCCCTCGATGGAGATGAATCGTTGTATGGGGCCTATGAAGAGGTAGCTTGGAGGCCGGGTTTATGCCAACATCGTTGATAACTCTTGGGTTTACACTGGTCCTCCTCCTCCTCCTCCGCCTCCTCATCATCACCACCACCACCATCATCATCATCATCATCATCATCATCATCCTCCTCTTCCTCCTCCTCCTCCTCCTCTCCTCCTCCCCTCCTCCCCTCCCCTCCCCCTCCTCCTCCTCTCCTCCCCTCCTCCTCCCTCCTCTCCTCCCTCCCCCTCCTCCCTCCTCTCCTCCTCCTCCTCCTCCCTCCTCCCTCCTCCTCCTCCTCCTCCTCCTCCCTCCTCCTCCTCCTCCTCCCTCCTCCTCCTCCTCCTCCTCCTCCTCCTCCCCCTCCCTCCTCCTCCCTCCTCCTCCTCCTCCTCCTCCTCCTCCTCCTCCTCCTCCTCCTCCTCCCTCCTCCTCCTCCTCCTCCTCCTCCTCCCTCCTCCCTCCTCCTCCTCCTCCTCCTCCCTCCTCCTCCTCCTCCTCCTCCGCCTCCTTCCTCCTCCTCCTCCTCCTCCTCCTCCTCCTCCTCCTCCTCCTCTCCTCCTCCTCCTCATCCTCCTCTCCTCCTCCCTCCTCCTCCTCCTCCTCCTCCTCCTCCTCTCCTCCTCCTCCTCCTCCCCTCCTCCCTCCTCCTCCTCCTCTCCCCTCCTCCTCCTCCTCCTCCTCCTCCTCCTCCTCCTCCCCCTCCCCCTCCTCCTCCTCCTCTCCTCCTCCTCCTCCTCCTCCTCCTCCTCCTCCTCCTCCTCCTCCTCCTCCTCCAGGATGGCCTGGAGCCATCACCACGCGCGGCCGCCGCCGTGCTCCTCGCGGCCGGTGCGCCTCCGGGGCTTCATCGGCGGGCAGGGCTGGTCGGGCATGGGGAACTTCCGCTCCTCGCCGTCCTTGATGGGCCTGTTTTCCACCACCACTACCATAAGTTGGAGGGGAAGGGGGCCTCCTCCTCCTCCTCCTCCTCCTCCTCCTCCTCCTCTCCTCCTCCTCCTCCGCCTCCTCCTCCTCCTCCTCCTCCTCCTCCTCATTCCCCCCTAAAATGTATGGTGGTGGTGGTGGAAAACAGGCCCATCAGTCCTCGCCCAGCAGCAGCGGCATCCACTCCTGGGACCACGAGGCTCCCTCCAAGCTGGGAGTACCAGATCTTTCCGCTCAAGACACTGTCGCCCGCTTTCGGGCCCTGGGACCCTCACCGATCGATGCGGCTCGAACGGTGACGCAGAAAGGTGGGGTCCAGGGCTCCAGTGGTGAGTTTTTGTTCTGTTGCATTCCCAGAGATCCGACGTCGTGATTTTTTCCATGCGGGGTCCCGACCCGAACCTTCCCCAGGGCCGGTTTCATCCTGAATCATTTGTATTGCAGCCCCAGGGCCCGGTGAGGGTCTCCAGACGCCGAAAACAGTGAAAATCCTCCATCTTGATTTTTGTTCATCAACGCGTTGGATCTCTGAGCTTTTCGTAACATCAGATCTGAGGGGAGTCTCTGGCGAATCGGCCGTCCAGGGAACGGCGTCCTCGGGCTCCCGAGTAGAAACAACGCAGCGAGAGCACAGCCTGTCAGAGCTCCGAGAGTCTGTGGCTGTGCCGTGAGTTCTGCTGCGAGCTCCGGGTGCTGCGCCAGCTCGTTCATCACGGGCCCGTTCCGGAGGCGCCGCACGTTCTCGTCCAGGCCCTGCACGCGGGCGGGGGTCACCTCGGCGACCTTCCGGGAGTTCAGCCCCGGGAGGCACTTGCGCACGTCGACGCCGTTGAACTTGGAAACGAACTCCTCACAGGCGTCGCTGGTCCGGAAGTTGATGAAGCCATATCCGACGTTACACCTGTTCTTGAAGTCGATGGGCAGGTCCGTCACCATGCTTGCACGGATGGTGGGGTGTTAGAGTGCGTCGGCTTTCGGCAATTTTCCGTGGGCGCCCCCGCCCCCCCTACTGCCGCAAGCGTGGTTTGGCAATCGCCCCCCTACTCTTGGTTTACAGCGCCCTCTTCGGACTCACGAAGGCCCCAGGGCGGCCCAAGAATGGCCCAACTGCTGCAAGGCGCCGCACGACTGTCCAAAGACAGCCCAACAAGCCCTCAAGGCTTTGAGATCTCCCCAAGACGCCCCAAGGCCAAGAGGCCCCACGAAGACTCGAGGAGACGCTCAAAGAGGACTCCAGCGAGGATCTAAGAGGCGACAATAGGAAGCAACACGTCAGGATTGATGTCTGCCTCCGAGGCGCTTCGGCTTAAGATCGCCTCCGGAAGTCTCCAGGTTGCCCCAATACATCTCCGATGAGAGTCTCAAGATGGCGCCAAGACGGGCCCAAGACCCCACGAGACGACCCCTGACCGTCTCAGGCGGGCTCCAAGACGGCCCCAATATCCACCAAGCCTGAAGACAAGATGGTTCAGCCGATCCTTTTTGGGAGAGCTTGTTAGAACCATCGTGCCCAAAGCGACCACTGACCGCCATCGAGCCCAAAACAGGTCCCCGGCAGGACCCAAAGAGGCTCCCAAAAGCGCCAAGATGAGTCGCCAGAAAGGCGCCCTAAAGAAGCCTCCAGGCTCCTTTCAGAATGGGGGAAGTGGACGGAAGAGGAAGGGAAGGGGAAGCAGAAGGAGGAGGAAGAAAAAGAGACTGAGGTCAAGGAAAGGGGTGTTCAAGAACCGCGCCAGTTCCGACAGGGCGCTGGCAGGGCGCCGAACTGGGCGGATGTTCGCCTCGAAGCCCCCCCCTCCCTGCTGCGGCGCTGCGCTGGCACGGCGGCGGGGCCTGCCGCAGGCACCACGGATAGACGAAGTCGAAACGCCCGCGGAACTCCGAGTTCAGCTGCTTCACCAGCATCTCCCGAGTGTACTTGTTCGGGATGTTGCGGAGCCTTAGCTGCCCCGATACGCCACACGCGACACGTCGCGTATCGATACGGAGCTATAATAAACGCGTGGACGGAACCCGGAGAGGTCCAGCGCGGCGCGTCCGCCAAAACATGGGCCAACGCGTGCCGAACCAACACGCAGCGTGTTGACACGGACGCTTTTAAGACGGCACGTGTTGCGTTTCAACACCAAGCTCCTCGGCACCGCCTGCACCCCGCCCCGCCCTCCGGCCGCCTGAGGCCCCGCCCGCCTGTGCTCTGTCTCCCCAGTTAGAGCTATGCGTGGCCCGCCTAGCTCTTAACCGGAAGAGGCCCGCTCTCGACCCGCAGACCAAAAAGTGTTGCGTTTCAGCACGGGCGCATCAGGGCAGCCGAGTGCGGAGCATGACCGTGGTGAAGCTCCCGTCCGCCGGCGCGCTGCCGCTGGCAGGCGGGCCGCTGCTCTCCACGACGGCCTCGCTGCGGGCGGCGCCGCGGCCGCCGCCGCCCTGCGGCGCGGGCGGCCCGCTCTCGGGGCGGCGGGCGCCGCCCAGCGGCGAGCCCTCCCCGTTGGCCTGCGCCTGCCTGCGGGGGCCTCGGCCGCCCTTGCGGCCCCACGCCGGCCCGGCGCGGCCCTCCTCCCAGGCGCCGTCCTCGTGCGAGGCGGGCTCCTTCTCCGCCTGCCCGCCGCCCTTGCCCCAGGCCCTGCCGTCGCCAGGGCCCTGCAGGGCCGCGTCCTGCCTCCACGCCTCGGCGCCTCCGGCGGCCTCCGCCGCCGGCGCTGCCTGGCCCTGCTCCTCCTCGGGGGGCGTCCAAGAGGGGGGCGTCCCCGAGGGGGGCCCGCAAAAGTCACTGTCGGAGGCACGTGCGCGGACCAGGGTAATTAGGCCAGAGGACGCCTTGAGATAGGCAGGAGGGCCATGGCATCCGAGGAGATCTCATGGCTCCGTCCATGATATCTACCCACCCCCCTCTTTCCAGCAGGGACCGACTGTCCCGGCAGTCCTATAGGCCTACCACGGCAGATTCTCAGAGTGACAGCGAGCCGGTCCCAGCCAGACATCTTCTGCAAGAACATCCCGTGCAGGCCACGAGAGGTCCTTGGAACATTCTTTTGGGTGGGCCCATGGGCAAGCCGGGACGCTTCGCCGCTGCTCGACTCTTGGCCGCCCCCGACCTCCGCCTGCACGCCCCCGTCGGGGCCCCACCCCTGCGCGGAGGAGCCGCCGCCGAAGGGCGCCTCGGCCGCGGGGCCGGCCTCCATCTGCACGCCGCCCTCCGGGCCCCAGCCGCTCTCCGCCAGGGCCTGCAGCTCCGCGCCCTGCGGCGCGTCCTCGAAGTGCACCTGCAGAGGCCTCCCAGCTGGGGTCCGAGTGGATGGGGCCGAAGGATCGCGCCGCATCGCCGATGCATCGGCGATGCATCGGCGATGCATCGGCGTGGAGAAGTTGGGGCTCCACATCGAGCCGCATCGACGATGCGTCGGCGATGCGGCGCGATCCTCCGACCCCGCCTGCTCGGACCCCGCCCAGGAGGCCCGGCGCCTGGCCCTCCAGCAGGGCCTCCAGCGGCTGGCCTCCGAGGCCCGCCGCCAGCGCGTCGGCCTCGCCGGGCGCCCCTGCTGGGGCGACGAGGGCTGTGCACGGCCACTGCCTCCGGGTCGGGCCCTCTCCTGGGCCCAGGGGCGGTGCAGTCGCCCCCCTGGGCTTGGCCAGGGAGGCATGTGCCCCGCCCCTGGGCCCAGGAGGCAGGCCCTGCCAGGGGCAGCCGGCGGGCACAGCTTCTGCCCCCCGACCCGTGGGGGCCATCACCATCCCGTCGGCGGACATGTACCAGCCGCCCGCAGAGAACTCCCCCGTGCTCGGGTCGAACATGCCCGGGACGGGGAAGTAGCAGAAGCCCGGTAGGTCCCCCGCGTCGAAGCACTCGGCGCCGCCGGGCCCGTAGAGCTCCTCGGGGCCGATGTCTCCAAAGGCCGAGACCTCGTGCCCCGCGGCTGGCTCCGCGAGGCTCAGGAGCGGCATGTCCCCGCGGTGCTCGGGTATGGACGGGTGCAGGAAGGGCGAGGGCGTGTCTGGCACCACGACCCTCGCCTTTTGCGCGGCCTGGAACTCGGCGAACTCCTCCGGGGACTGCGGGCCCCTCAGCAGGCCCCTGTTCAGCTCGGTGCCGTCGCTGCGCGCGCGGACCCGCTCGTAGCCGACCTCGTCCGCCTGCCCGAACTCCACGAAGGTGTTCTTCACCTTGTAGGACACGCTGTCCGAGACGCGGCCCATCTGGCGAGGTCGGAGCTGGGGACGGCCCTCGGGGAGGTGCCGGTGGACAGAGCGCTGCGGGGGCACGGGAGCCCGAGTGACAAAGAGCCAAAAGGGCTATAGGCGGGATGGTGAGCAGGACGACTCACCAGGTGGTTCAAGATTGGGGCACTGAGCGATGGGGCCCTGAGGACAAGAGTCCACAGGCATGCTACATTCAACTTCAAAATCAATTACAATCCTAAAGGCCCTCGAACATACGATCACAAGCGTGGCGGCGGTATCCACAGGCCAGGGAGGCAGTTCCGCGGGGGGGGGGGGGGGGCGTCTCCGTGCGCGCCCGTGGCTGCGAGCGGGGGCGCGTGGCTGCACTAGCAAGCTGATGCCAGCGAATCGTTTTCTTTCCGAGGCGACATCGCGCGGGCGACGATGTACAGGCCGAGGGCCGGGCCAAATCGGACAAAAAAGCTCTCATCTAATTGGGCGGTCCCTCGTCGTGCTTGTCCCACGGGTTTGTCGCGCGGCAGTCATGTGGGCTGTCCCGCGGTGGTCCCGCGGTTGTCCCGTGGCTGTCCCGTTGGTTTGTGTCGTGGTCTTTTGTCTTGTGGGTTATCCCACGGTTGTCCCGTGGATTAACCCACGGGTTGCATCGTGGGTTGCACAGCGGATTGTCCCACGGGTTGTCCTGCGGGTTGTTCCGTAAGTATATGGTTGTTGTTATGTTTCTTGTCCCATGGGTTGTCCCGTGAGCTATCCCGTAAGTTGTCGGGCGGGTTCTCCTGTGATGGTCACGTTCGTTGTTTCTTGCTTAGCCCCGTGGGTTGTCACGTGGTCGCCACGCGGGAGATGCTCATCGAAATGCGAATCAACATGCAACTCGGACAAGACACCGATACATACACATATATACATATATATATACACATAAAACCCATGCATGTATACAAGATGTTTGCAATTACCTGGGTAGTGGAGCTAGCAGGGGCATGCAAATTCTAACTCCAGAACTCAGCTCAGACCAGAACATTGGTTTCTCATATACTGCATGGTACTTACGTCGGCAAGATGCATGCTGTAGACGATGGGCCCGTAAGACAAGCAGAACAGGCATGCCAGCAGATATACATCGACTGGTCCGTAGCAGGGCAAGCACGTGGTTCGATAGACGGCTGGGTAGCTGGGTGGCCAAACCGACGCGAAGCAAATCACAAACTGAACCCAAGGGGTGGTTAGCGAAATCTATGGAAGCGCAAACATTATGTTTATGAGGCTGGGCATAAGGTTCTGCATCGCTCTGTGGAGCAGAGGTCCTGCAAGCTCGACGTTCGGCCACGACAAATGCAAGCTGCTTGGCGCCGCCATGTAATCTGCGAACTCAATCAACCAGGAAGCTGACGTGATGTGGGACACGGATGCGTATACGCATGCACTAACAATGGCATCGTGGTGGGGGCGATGCAGGTCTGCCAGTAGTATCAGACCCACCCTGACGGCACCAACACTGCGAATACGTCGCGTCTGGTGCCAAGGACATGGCTTGCAACGGTCCATCTGAGCGGGTGCTGGCTGCCCCAACATTTGGGTTAGATGGCCATGCTTCCAACCTCACGGCTAAACTAAAGGCTGCACCTTGCTGTGTGTGTGCTCATGTTTCTGCACGCGTCCATACGGTGCGATGTGATGCACTTCCCGCCCAAATGCACGAGACTCGACCTTCTTCCACGTATGAAGCAGTGTGGACGTTATGTGGTGACGTTTCTGTGTTGACGCATTCAGTGAGTTGGCAGGTTTGCATTGCTGGGCTGGTTGCACATGTGCATTTGCAGAGTCGCATACCGGCAAAGGTGGCTTCGCCCACATGACCAGATTAAACGCAGACTTGAAAGACCTCGAGAGTTGGACCACATCTTCATCACCAGCAACATGCACCCGGTCTACCCCGAGGACATCCAGGTCTCAGACACCGAGTAAGCCATCGAGGGCAGCAACTTCACGACCACGACAAGACTGCTCACATCCACGAGGCGGTGGGCAGGAACAGCCACGGCATCAGGAACGCGTGGCCCCAGGGACGGAGCCTGCAAGACAGCGGAGCGGTGGAGACTCGAGCATTGACCTCATGGCGCCTCCACCGCGGAGGGAAGGCGACTTCTTCGCGACGCCACGAGCAGGACATCCAAAACCTCGGCCCCCGATCCTCGATCCACAGACCTGCAACGTCACGCCCCCGCGGACCTCGATCTGGACCCTTTCCCCCGGGCTTGCACTTCGCCGCGCATCGTTCTCCTCCTCCTCCTCCTCCTCCTCTTCCTCCTCCTCCTCTTCCTCCTCCTCCTCCTCCTCCTCCTCCTCCTCCTCCTCCTCCTCCTCCTCCTCGCTGTCAGGGCCGAAGCGCGACAAGGAGGCAGAGTTGCGTGCCCCGCCCTCCCCATGAAGACCGCACCGGGCCGCTCGCGGGCGCGCGCCACGGAGCTCCGCTGTCCCCCGAGGGCGCCGCGCCGGCCGTCGCCGATGGCGCGCCCCCGGCGGCCGACGGGGGCGCCCTCACGGGCTCCGCGGCCGGGGGGCGCCTGGCGGGGGCTCCCTGGGCGAGCCCTCGCGGGCGCTGAAGAAGGTCAGGTGCCTGGGGGGGGGACGCCGCCGCCGCCGTCGTCGTCGCCGGCGCCGTCGCCGTCCTCGAGGAGGGGAGCGGTGCACGGTCTTCTGCTCGGCGTGCGAGCCGAGACAGGAGGAGGACGCCAGACGACGACGACGACGACGACGACGACGACGACGGCGACGACGACGGCGACGACGACGACGACGACGACGACTGACGACGACGACTGACGACGACGACTGACGACGACTGACGACGACGACGACGACGACGACGACTGACGACGACGACGACGACGACGACGACGACGACGACGACGACGACGACGACGGCGACTGACGACGACGACGACGACGAACGACAACCATTGGCGACTGACGGGTGACGACGAGGACGGCGGCGGCGGCGACCGACGACTGACGATCGAGATGACGTCTGCTCTCCTTGGGCCTCCAGGAAGGCCCTCGGTCGCCCCGGTTGGATTGCCCTTCGGAGTCCTGGTCGCGAAGCGTTCGGTCAGGGAGGCGATGACCGAGCGATGCCGTCGTCTTCGCGGGGTCGCCGTGGTCGTGGTCGTGGTCGTGATCGTTGTCGTCTCCAGACCTCCAGCGTGTTGATACGGTCGGGGAATGTCGAGAACTGTCGCTTAGCGTGTCGCGGCGGCGGCCCGGGCGACACACTACGCCTTGCAAGTGGATAGCGCGTCGCTCCGCTCGCCGAAGAATGCTGGGTCAGAACTGGTGGAGCGACACGCCAAGCCAAAGCTGCCGACCGTATACCACGTCGTTTGGTCGGCCAAGGAGCTCGGTGGGTATGCGCCCCAACTTCTCGTGCTTTGGCATGCTGGAGCGCCAATACCCCGGAGTCCTTCGCCGAAGTCATTGGCTCCTTGACCGACCAGACGACGTTATTGCTCGCCCCATAACGCAAACAAGATGATGAGCTCCACCGACCCGTCAAGCACTGCAAATCACAGCAACGTGGCTGGTCTGCAGCGTGAGATTGAGGGGCGACTGGCCGTCGTCTGACCGCACGTCTCCGCGTGCAGCATGCTCGAGACGAGCCCTGGAACAAAAGGCAAGGCAGGCACCTTGAGAAGAGCAGCACGAAGAAAGGCGAAAGGCCCACGCGACACTCGACGCCCGACCAAGCGACGTGCCCAGACCCCCGACGTCGTGTTTTTTTCCACAACGTCCGGACCCTTTCCCCGGGACCGGGTTCATCCTGAGTTGCTGTTTGACGGTCCCGAGGCCCCAGAAGGCACCTCCGAGGCCGAAAAAAGCGACAACACTCCCGTCGCGATTTGCTTCACAACGCGAGGAGGTCTGGGCAGTGCTCACATCGAGCCCCCTCCGAGAGGAGGTTCGCTCGGCGGCGCGCCGATGGGGGAGGCGAGAGCGGGCAGGCCTCCTCGGAGGGCGGCGGGGGCTTCTGAGAGGAGCCCTTCGGGCCTTGTGGGGCGCCCTCTGCGGCATCGGAGCTGGCTGAGAGGGCTGCTCAGAAGTCGCGGGGTGCGAGAGGTGTCCCTGGCCCGAGAAGCCACCTACGTAGCTTTTCCCCTGGGCCCTCTGGGCATCGGGAGGGGTGCTCTGGAGACCGTGGGGGCCTCCTTGGGGATCCTGGGGGCACCTTGGGCCAGGGCACCTTCAGCAACACCCGAAGAAGGCCAGGGGACTTCAGAGCCTTCCAGTGGAGGCCAGTCCACAAGAAACCTCCCACAAGAAGCCCAACCCTGAGACCCCAGGACGTCCATGGATTCTTGGCCTGGGAGCGCAGCGCTTCCCATCGCCCAACCACCGAAATCCAAGAAACACTTTTTTTGATCCGCGGGTCGAGAGCGCGCCTCTTCCGGTCGAAGCTAAGCGGGCCGCGCACAGCTTGAATTAACAGAGGAAGGAAAAAAGAAAGAATACGGGGCCTCACGTCAAGGCCAAGAGAGGGCAAAGCAACGGGATCAGGCGGTGCTGAAAGCGAAGTGCATGCAAAGGAACGCCTTGGACAGGAACCCGGAGGCGAAGTGCCGGGAGGCAAGCAGGGTGCCTCTTGGCATGGGTCTCCACTGTACGAGGCGGCCCGCGCCCTCTGCCTCTCCCCCCGGGGCGCGCCGCCGAAGGGAGGCTCGAGTCCCCGAATCGAGGCTCGACGGGGCTCGAGGATCACGGCTTTGGGGCGTCCAGGGCCCCTTCCTCTCCTCCACCTCCTCCTCCTCCTCCTGCTCCTCCTCCTCCTCCTCCTCTTCCTCCTCCTCCCCCTCCTCCCCCTCCTCCTCCTCCTCCCCCTCCTCCTCTCTGTGCGTTTAACACACGCAGCCGTTGCCAATACAGCATGCCTCTCTAATGAGCAATTTGGCTGCTCACTGCCTCACCCTGCTCGCGCGCCCTCCGGACGCAAGGCTTCTGAACTGAACTGGGCCCGTTCTGGG